AATCACCCTTCTCCTCTAACCCTATTTTATTAATCTCTAAAATATTGATGATGACAAGTATACCCTTAAGTGGGCGGCCAGCTTGGCAGTTACATAAAGAAAATAAAATAAGAACAAATAGCAGGCCCATCAACATAAAATAAAGGATATCACACGAAAGGCTGTTAGGGCCCATTCGGCCCAGTCTCTTTACAAACACTAATTCACATGTTAAACCAAAGAAGGATTCAGCTGCTTCACATGTTATTAGTCTCATACACATGGACTACTGTACAGGTTTGCGAAACAGGCATCACGCAATGATTGTGTACAGAAGATCCAAACTTATAGCAAGGCATACATAGACATTTTTTGGGATAGGTAGAAAAATGGTATAGTACAGTGAGTGAATATACATAGTAGAGACATGAGAGACAAAACAACTTACCTCTCTCCTAACTCCACCCTTCTCTTACAATTGTGCCCAGAACGGAACTTGTCGTCCCACCCCTTGTTTTGCTAGAGTATCAGCAAAAGAGTTAGTGCTTTGCTTGCACCAGCTGAATGATACTTCCATGTCCCTAGCCAATCCATTTTTTATTCATTTGCTTTTAAAAATAACTAAAATATGACCAAAAACTATCCAATGTTTTCAACCTGTCGTTGATCGATTACTCAGACTGATCAACCTATCACTTTTAACCCCCTGCTGTTTACTTGCAAAAAATGTTTACTCAGTCAATGACCTGGTGAGCTAGCCAATTGAACTACTAAACCATTTAAGTCTACAGGTCATGTGTTAGACATAAATTCTCCTTTTGCACTTCTTTTTTTTATCCATTTCCATCATTAATAACAATAATTCTCATTTATCACACTTATTTTGTTGAATATGATTTCTGATTTCTCATTTGCAAAATTGGAGTCAGCTGTATGAAAAGCACAGATGTGATTTCTGAACCACCTCTGCAGGCACAATTGACTGTTGAAAGATTTCAGGTCAAGAAAGCAACCTGGGGTTGTCCTTAAGATTCGAAGATGGACAAGATACCTGTAAGACTAAAACCCATGAGAACCCTTTTCTTGCATGAACATCTGGCTTCACATTGAAGCAGAAGTGGTTGAGGGTTCAAGGCCCTTGAAACCCTGCCTTGATATAGGCATCTGATTACAGTATAAGTTCATAGGTGCACTTCTGCTTGTGAATATCAGACCAATACTAAGTCAATACCACTAAATTTCCCATGGAAAAATATCCCACTCAAACATGAATCATCTTGACACTCCATTGTTACAAAACAGGCCTATTTTGTAAATTGGAACGTAGTGGCAAAAATGGGGATGACTTCTGCATGCTTCTTCTATTTGGGTTAGATGGGTTTCATGATGGACAGACTGTGATTGTTGTCTTCAGGTTATGAAATGCCAGGTAACCTAAGTCTTTGGCTCGAGTGATGGATTAATTTCTTGGCTATATTTATATCACATAAGGGAAGCTTGAGTCCTTAGTTAAGTAAGTTTTCTCACTTTTCTTTGTATCCCTTTTCAAAATAATTAAGTTTTCTTTCCATCTATTCATTGTCATCATTTAAGCCTTATCCCAACTATATGGGATTAGCTACATGAATCCCGTTTTGCTATTCCACTCCATTTAGGGGCACAAAAGGACAATTCAGGATCCAACTTTACCGCAGACCATTAAGAGATTCAACACCACAGGTTAATCACATCTGTAGGCAAATTTCATTTTGAGCACAATAGTAGACACAAGAATATAGCCATAAGCAATTACAGAACAAGGTACAAAGCAAGCTTACCTTGGTCAGCAAGAGATTGAGTAAATAGGGACCACAAACTTCTATCCCCAGGCTGTTTCTCCTGTTCAAAAGTGATGATCAGCATTTGGATGGCAGTGGGATTGGTTTGTTATGATGACAGCAAGTGACTGGGAGGGGGAAGATTGAGAGAGCCAGAGATTGAGGAAGAAACAGGGGAGGAAGCGACTGGTTTCTCTTCTCGAGCTACTGTCCTGAGAAAAGAAAGAAACCCTTTTCCTTGGTTAAGATTTGTGAAAAGGAATATATATTAAAAATAAAAGTATTACCCTTCATTGCTCACATCCATTAAAGTATGGGAATGGATGACAAAACATGGCACACTAAGATGGTGTTTAGTTAGCATAGGCTGACCACACTAGGCAGCCAAAATTTTCCCAGGGTCCTGGTACGTGTAGACTGCATATTGACCTAAACTTTGGCTTTTTGCTCTGTTTGGTTTTGTTTTACACAAAGTAGCTGCTCTTAAACTCAAGCCATGTTCTTATGCTTGTCAGCCCAAGATTTTACCATTGCACCAACCAAATGTCCCTTAGGATAAGGTATTCAAATCCCCCCATCTAGGATCTCTCTCTTTTTTTCACTAATAAATCTAAAGGCGGCCACCCTTCCACATGGAATGAAGTTTGGTGTTTAAAAAAAAAAAAAAAAAAAAAAAAAAAACTGACTATAAACTGACACAAGCTCCTTAGAGGAATTTGTTATACAGGAGATTCAAAAAAGAACTTAATAAACTTGTAACAGTGACAGCAATGAAAGATGACAGCTAAATTAAACCAACACAAACTCATTATGGGGAGTTTGTTATTGTCAAAAAAAGATTAATATCTTTGAATATTGATATCAGACCAACCAGAATTGTTGTGGGAACTTACACTATAATCCTTCACCAGTACTCTCCAAGACAACATGGATCACTCCTGTAGCTTCCATCAAAATCATCTATACTTCTGAAGTCTACAGCAATAGTCTCTGCCCTGCCAAGTGGCAACCAACAGACTATAAATAGAATGGTTGAAGTATTAAAGAACAACTTAAAAAACAACACCACCATTTAGCCCTTTTTTTGGGCTTGAGGAAAAAGAATGCATACATGTACACAAACATATTATGCACAAAATTTCATGGTTCACTAAATCCAACACTCCACTATGTAACATGTAATAGTTGCATGAAATTAATCTAGATTTTACAAGTCCAAAGGCAAGTTTAAGGAGGTATAATATACATACCCATAGGAGGTACCAGCAGGGTCCATGCCTCAAATGCCAAAGAACCAAGAAAAAGCTATATAACTTGGCTCCAACAGGTGATACTCATCTAGTAATCAATCAACAACTCTTTTCCAAATTTGAAAGCATTTCTTTTGCAATCTTGTYGGCCTTTTGTATTTCTCCTTTTGAATATAGTGATGCAATTATGGAATATTGATCGTGGAAATCATAAAAGAGGGATTCTTCGATGAAATTTTCATGACTTTCCACCAAACCATCTATTTTCCCCACCATGTACAACCCAACATCCAAATCAGTTGCATGTGAAGAGGTCAAAGGCTTGGAGGTAACAGAATTACCCACTTCATTTAGGACTGTGATGGCTTCTTGGATTCTTCCTTGCTCACACAAAAGGACAAGAACATGTGCTATTGACTCTGCTTTGATCTCACTACCCATTCTGTTTATCAACTCCATGACAGATTGGGTCTGAAGCATCTCTCTCAAGATGCTCCTAGCCTCCTCCATCCTTCCCTTTGTGCAGAGTCCTTTCATTAAATAAATAAAACCCAGAAAATCAGGCGATATCCCTTTCCTTTTGTATTCATAGAAGAACCCAAGGGCCCCTTCCATGTCCCCATTCCGGCAATAGCCATTGATCAAGGCACTAATAGTAAATGCATCTGGTTTAATGATACCTCTTTCTAAATCAAGAAGAAGCTTTAAGGATTCATCCATTGATCCAAATTTGCAATACCCATCAATTAATGAGTTATAAACACGTGAATTTGGAGTAAAACCATTAAGAATCATTCTCTCAAACAACTTCTTGGCATCTAATAGAAACCCTTCTTTACATAAAGCAACAATAAGTGTAGAATATGTGATATCAGTAGGAACCACATTGATTTCCTCTAATGAGTTAAATAGTCTAAAAGCTTCAACCAGACATCCCTGCTGACACAACCCATTTAGCACCGAGTTGTAGGTGACAATAGTAGGAGTAATTCCCTTCTTCTTCATGATAAGACAGAGATCCAAGGCCCTTCTGAGAAAGCCACCCTTGCATAGTCTATCAACTACTTTATTATAAGTGAACACATCAAAAACTATTTGACTTCCTCTGGCTTCTACAATAATATTATATGCATCTAAAATTTTCCCCTTCTTTATGAGTGTTTCAATCATTGTAATCGGAATGCTGATATATATATGTTTCTCTTCTATCTTTTCAAGAAACCGAAGGGCTTTGCTCACATCCTTCTTACACAAGTAACAAATAAGTATCTCATATATGCTCAGCTTTGAAAGCCCGTATTCTTTAATATAGGAATTCAAAATCCCTGGAGTAAATAGTGTATCTCCTTTCGCAAAAAGCTCTTTGAGGATCACATTGTAACACTTATCTGTAATACTAGAACCTTTCCTCCTCAAAACCATGTACACATCTAACGCAGATTCAAAATATCCTCTCTTGCACAAGAAGTGAATAGCATCAGCACATACCATATTATGTATCCCAGTATTTAAGAACTCAATCGCATTAAGGAACTTCAGAACTCCCGTTGCATTTCTTTCCTTAAACGTTGATCTGATCAACATCATATAAATACCTCTGTCAGGCACCAGAGCTTTCTCAATGAGTTCAAAAAATACCTTAATTGCCATATCTACCATACCATTCTGACAGAGACCACAAAGAATACAATAGTAGCATACAACACCAGAAGCCAGAGAAGTTGTCCTGTATGCATCAAATATTTCAAGTGCCTCGCTGAGCCTTCCTACTTTACAACATCCATCAATCATCACACAAAACGTAACAGAATCAGGCTGCAAACCCATATCTGGCAACCCTTTAAATATCATATAAGCTTCTTCCATTGCCCCCGTCATAAATAATGCCTTAATAAGTACATTACACATGACAATATCCATACAAACTTCGGCTTCTTCCAATCTTCTTTTGGTTTCCAAGATCCCCGCTAAATTATTTTCTTCAATGTATCCATGCAACAATGTGCTGTATGTAACGTTATCAGCAAATATACTTTTCGAAATCTCATCTGCTTCCAATGTCCTCCCAGCTTTGCACAAACCATTAATCAAAGTATTGTAAGTGACAATTCCTGTTTTAATACCTCTATTCTCCATTTCCTCAAGCAAGCAAAACACCTGATCAAAATCCCCTATCCTGCAGAGGCCATCAATCAATGTTGAATATGTTATTTCGTCTACTTTAAACCCTAAATCTTCCACCTTCCTAAACACATTGAATGCTTCTTCCAATTTCCCCCTCTTGCAAAGCCCCCGCATGACTGCTGTATATGTGACCAGATTAGGTTTTAGGCCATCTTTCTCCATCTCATTTAAGAAGCCAACTGCCTTTTCTACATCTCCTTCCTTAGAAAACCCGTCAATGAGAATAGTATAGCTAACTGTATCTGGCTTTATTCCATTTTCCACCATTAATTTATGCTTGCGAAATGCCTCCATTAAAATCCCTTCACTTAAGTATCCACAGATCCAACTACTGTAAAATATGGCATCTAAAACTACTCCTTCTTTCTCCATCCTACAAAGAAGATCTGAAACCTCCTGAATTTTACCCTCTTTACAAAGTGCACTTACAAGAGCAGTATAAGTTACAACATTAGGACGAAAAGCTCCAATTTTTCCAGCATTCTCGTAAAACCTCAATGCAAGTTCGGGTTTTCCAATCTTACAAAACCCAGAAACTACCGAACTACAAATGAAATTATTCATCACGTATCTAACATTCCCATTTGTCATACTCTCCATGACTTCAATTGCTCTATCCATCTTACCCTGAGAGCTAAAACTGTGAATCAGCAAAGAAAAATTTAAAGAAGAAGGTGAAATACCACGGTTTCGCAAGCAATTCTGCAGCAAATAGAAGGCTTTCTCTGGGTCCCTTCCATCTGTACAGAGGCCTCGAATTAGAGAATCCAAGAGCCACTTTTTGGGAAAAACTCCATGTTTCTCCATCTGAGCGACGAAATTCTCTGCTTCTTCGAGCCTCTTCTCATACAAAAGAGCCCGTGCCACAATACATTGAGTACGAGAGTTTCCGTTGATTCCGTTTGAATTCATTTGAGAGAAGAAGTGGAGAACAGATTCAAATCGGTGGTTTCTGGATAGAAAAATAAGGAAATGGTTTAGGGATTTGAGGGTGGGAATGAAACCACTTTTAAGGAGTGTTTGAAGAGGAGGGGTTTCCGAGAGGCTACGACAACTATACGAAGAAGAAGAAGAAGAACAGAAGCTTTTTATTGCAAAAAGGGAAGAACAAATAACTGATTTTGGAATTTGAAGGAAGAAAACTGCAGACTGAGGATCATGTCCCACAACTGCTCTTTTCATGGATGGCGTCATATCGATATCGAGTGCCTGAATGTAGAGATGGAAGAACCGGCCATCGAGTATAAACAGTAAAGAGAGTGATCTTCTATTCTTTACATTGCCACTGCCATTGCGCCAAGCTCCCACATCGACCGCCGGTGAACTGTGAAGAGGAACCACGTTCTTCCCTCTTTCTTCCGTCACCAACACATGTGAAAAACAGGCGCATTCGTGAATCCGTAGTGAACCAATAACCACGCCAGTTTTCACTTTTCAGCCGTTTTGTAACAAGTGTTCTCTTCGCCCCGCCATCAAATGCCAACCACTCACCCTACAGCCGCCACTCCAACGTCTTGTCATGGGTGGGTTATGCTTGTACTTTTATAGGGGGATTGTCAATGGCAATATTATAATACTGTAGTATGCTTTTTTACCTTTTTGATGTTTYTTATTGTCACTCCCCCAAAAGCTTAGCGTACTCTTTGGGGGAGGTAGGTAGTCGAGTGAGCTTATAAGCGTGTAAAGGTTAAGCACGAGATCCCCTCGACACTGTACTGTGTGTTTGTGCTTACCACTGATTAATGCAATACAAACAGCCTTTTGCTAATTCGTGTATCATCTTGTTGCCTTTTGTGTGTGTTTGCTTTGTTTCGTAGGCTTACTCGCCCATTTCGAGTGCCGCACGGGGCCCCAACGATTACCCCCGTGACAGTTGGTATCAGAGCGGATTGCTCCTCAACGCTCGTGACCCTTGCATAGCAACACTAGTGGTGGCGCAATGAAGCACAACAAGGAACTCACCGACAAGATTAGGCATGGCCTTGCCCATGCAAGGGAGACTGATGAGTCTCTAGGCGATGAAGCCGCTGCAGAGAAGGCCCCAAGGGGTCGCACATCCAAGACAAGCAAGCCTGACAAGTCAGTTGACACGCTAGCTGCCTTCGACACACGCATCCTTCGCTGTGAAGTGACTGTTGGGGAGTTGCGTGACCGAGTAGAAGAAATCCACTTGAATGTGGAAACAATTGAGAGCTCCATGGTGGAGCTAGAAGCCCGTTTAAATGGCATTATGAACGAGGTCCAAGACGTCCTGA